GGGCACATAGAAAACAATTGTTGTTTGTGTGCTATAGCGCTGACCTGCAGTTATCCAATGTGGAAAATGGAGGTCACTGATGATAGGGTGAGCGAGTCCCAAGAGAGCAGAAAGAACACCCAGCTGCACATAAGGAGTTGGTCCTCTGATGGCCAAGGCAGGCAAGTGAAGGGTCGGTGTCTGCCGAGTGTTGGGTCACACTAGAGATCTGGTAACTCCCTCCATGGGTTTCAGATTGTGAGCAGGGGCTGTGTCCATGCAGCTACTGCATCCCAACAGAGATGAATGGGACTGCCTGCATACGGATGCATAGAACACCTGCACATCCCATGCAGCAATCAGCCTGTTGCACGGATGTACCCTTTAGTACACCCATGTGAATGAGACCTTAAAATTCTTGCTTCTTAAGTGTTTTTACAGAAAGTCCTCCAGCCAGTTTGAACTTCTGTAGGTCACCGAGGGATCAGTTTGTTGTCTCATGAATTGATGTAAAATTATGACCTTCCACAATCTCCTTTTCATGTGGCCAGCAGCACTGTCTTCAAGTGGCCTCCATTGGGCCTATTTAGATTCTACAAACCTGTGGGTTGTGGCTTGTAACATTGGCCCATGGCTAACCGACATGTTTACTCCCATACTCAAATTTTCCCTCTGTATGTACTTGTCTAAATGACTTTAATGAGCTAGCTGTGGGTCCCTACACAGTGGTGAATGTGCAACAAAACTGCAGATATATCGTCTCTCAATTCTATTTTAACAGGTAATTTAGAGTTGCCTTCAGCGACATGTGAAGTGTGATGTGACTAGTACACTGATTGTTTGGTTGCTCTCTATTATGGCTGCTTTGACATTGTTGTTGCTCTTTGCATGGCTTCATGTGGTATTTTCCTGCAAGGTGACTGGTTGACTGAGAGTTTGCACTTGTTGAGTGTCACTACTGAGTTTAGTTTTTGGTGTCCCTGTGACTTGGCTGGGTGGGTGCTTGATAGGGGATGTTGGCAGCTTGCTGGTTTTGTGCTGCTGCATTAGAAAATGCAAATAGTTTGTAAATAAAGAGGAAAAAGAGGAAGTAAACTCGTGAAATGTACCTCTCTCAAAAAAAAAAAAAAAAAAGGCAGCGGGCAAAGAACTAGTCACTGGTGTTGCCTTTGGTCTCCCTGCAGATGATATTTCCTCATTACTGACTTGCCTTGTCTTGTTGTTCTGCACTGCCTGTGTGTAGGGGGTGGTCATGCTAGAAGGGCTTTGCTTCCTCTTGTCAAAACCTCCAGCAAGAAAAACAGTGAGCAGCACACTGGCGATATCACTAAATCCCACCTGAAATCAGAAGCAACAGTGCTTTAGATCTTATACTACAGATACACTATATTACCAAAAGTATTGGTCGGCCTGCCTTTACACACACATGAACTTTAATGACATCTCAGCCTTAGTCCATAGGGTTCAATATTGAGTTGGCCCGCCCTTTGCAGCTAGAACAGCTTCAACTCTTCTGGGAAGGCTGTCCACAAGGTTTAGGAGTGTGTCTATGGGAAGGTTTGACCATTCTTCCAGAAGTATATTTGTGAGGTCAGGTCACTGATGTCGGAAGAGAAGGCCTGGCTCTCAGTCTCCGCTCTAATTCATCCCAAAGGTGTTCTATCGGGTTGAGATCAGGACTCTGTGCAGGCCAGTCAAGTTCCTCCACCCCAAACTCGCATCATCCATGTCTTTATGGGCCTTGCTTTGTGCACTGGTGCGCAGTCATGTTGGAACAGGAAGGGACCATCCCCAAACTGTTTCCACAAAGTTGGGAGCATGAAAATGTCCAAAATGTCTTGGTGTGCTGACACCTTAAGAGTTCCCTTCACTGGAACTAAGGGGCCAAGCTGAACCCCTGAAAAACAACCCCACGCCATAATCCCCCCCTTCCAACAAACTCACGTACCTGGTGATGGAGGCCAATGGAGAGAGGGCTTCCCTTGCGGCTAAGTTCCGGACTGCCCTGAGAGTGGGACAGCGGGAGTCAGGCCCAAAGTTGCACAGGTCGCCTGTAGGAGTGCTGGTTGGTGGTCCACTCAGGAGCACAGCTGGTGCATGGGGATAGGTCTGCAGACTGGAGGCGCCTGTGCGTGGTATGCAAGCCTTCCGGGATTTGGATGTTCGCTGGTTAGTCAGTTCGAGCCAAGGTCAGGTACCGGGTGGGAAACAGAACAGACGTGGTCGGTGGGATAGCTGAGGTTATACATGGAGGAGCGAGAGAGAGTATCCTTTAGCCAAGCCGAGGTCAGATCAGGGGGGTCAGTAGAGCAAACAGGTCCAAGTACAAGCCGGGTCGGAATCAAGAAGTCACAAGCCACAGGAACAAACCACGGGGAGCTAGAGATCATCCAGCAGACTGAGGCTGATGTGTCCTTTTGCGGCCATGTAGAGTATTGGCAGAAACGCCAGAACTTCTGCTGTGGACAGGACCCTGACACAAACTTTACACTTGGCACAATGCAGTCAGGTAAATACCGTTCTCCTGGCAATCTCCAAGCCCAGACACGTCCATCGGATTGCCAGACAGAGAAGCGTGATTCGTCACTCCAGAGAGAACACGTCTCCACTGCTCTAGAGTCCAGTAGCGGCATGCTTTACACCACTGCAGATGACACTTTGCACTGTACTTGGTGATATAAGGCTTGGATTCAGCTGCTCGGCCATGGAAACCTATTTCATGAAGCTCTCTACGCACTGTTGTTGTGCTCTGAAGGCCACACGAAGTTTGGAGGTCTTTAGCTATTGACTCTGCAGACAGTTGGCGATTTCTGTGCACTGTGCACTTCAGCTTGCGCTGACCCCACTCTGTCATTTTACGTGGCCTACCACTTCGTGGCTGACTTGCTGTTGTTCCCAGTTGCTTCCACTTTGTTCTAATACTACTAACAGTTGACCGTGGAATATTTAGTAGCCAGGAAATGTCACGGATGGACTTATTATACAGGTGGCAACCTATCACAGTACCACGCTTGGAGTCACTGAGCTCCTGAGAGCGACCCATTCTTTCACAAATGTTTGTAGAAGTCGTCTGCATGCCTAGGTGATTGATTTTATACACCTGTGGCCATGGAGGTGATTGGAACACCTGAATCCAATGATTTGGATACTTTTGGCAATATAGGTGTCCTTTTATCATGCAGCGGTAAATGACCGCTGCTCAGTTCTCTGACATTCTCGGAGAACACAGTTCTCATGTGAATGCCTTTTTATGAAGCGGTGTAGATCAGTTCTCTGAAGGAAGGGAGACGCAATCTACAAACACTGGAAACTCGCGAGATTACAGTAAGAGATCAGTCAAGCAACGTTTACTAAGTAGCGGTAAATTATCACTGCTTTGATTGCAGCTCCTCTGATTCTCCAGCTCTGAGCTGGAGAATCTGGAGGGAGAACACAGATCGCCAGTGAAGGGCTGACATCACTCCTTCATATACTGGCAGTCTGTATGCTGAGATGATCAGCGGAGAGCATGTTCTCCGCTGATCATCTCTGTTCCTCAACCACAAATGATCGGAGATCAGCAACGATCCTCAGGATCGCCGCTGATCTCTGTTTAATAAAAGGACACCTTAATGTATATGGCTGTAGGCACACTCACATACCAGGAAGGTCACTGCTGTTTCTCAGGAGGGATTCCAGACAAAAGGTATTTTTTCCAGGATACTGCTTGGGCAGTGATAAAGTGTATGATACCCAGAAATGTTATGACATAGTGCATATGGGTGTGTGTTCATCATTCTTTGTTGTAAAATACCTGGTGATCCTGGCAGTTCTCCTTGTTTTCTCTTACAAACTGACCATAGTAAGCACAGAATTGGATCCAAACTGACATCTGCAGTGTGCAGAACTGGGCTTGCTGCTTGGAGTTCTAGGATGCCATGTCAATGGACTGTAAACTTCCAAAGTTCTGAATCTTCCAAAGTTGGCTTTGCCATCATTGTTCCTTCTTTTCTCCAAAGGAGTGGCAGGACTCTGTGCCTACACATGGCATGCCTATAGTGACATGCCCCTTGTCAGAAAGTGACTGAGAGCTGCTCCTGGCAGGGAAGAAGCAGGAATAAAGCTGCAATAAAACGAAGTCAAAATGGTATTTCAAAGGCATTTCTGATAATAATAAAACTAGTATGGCATGTTTCAAAAAGCTCTGGTACATGTGAACACAAATTCATACATTGACAGAACGTTGAAACATGCTTGCTGGTGGTAGAGCAGCAGGCAGAACTGGCAACAGCTCTTCCACACTAAATAAATTTAAAGCGATTCTAAAGGTTCATTTTTTATTTTTTTTTGTAAAATTACAAAGATGTCATACTTACCTACTGTGTGTAGTGGTTTCTGCACAGAGCAGCCTGGATCCTCCTCTTCTCGGGTCCCCTGCAGGCTCTCCTGGTTCCTGTGGTCTGTCAGTGGCTCCTGCTTGCTGTCTCTGCCAATGAGAGTCCTGTCACAACTGAGGCTGTCATTCACATTATTGGATCGTAATGAGGCTCGGGTAAGTATTGAGGGGGCTGGGGGAGCTGCCGCACACAAAAGGTTTTTTTAACCGAATGCATGAAGGTAAAAAGCCTTCAGCCTTTACAACCACTTTAAATAAACACTTGTTCACACTCCTTTCCTCTCTCTGTCTCCCCTATATCAAATACAGGCGTACCTCGGTTTATGAATTTAATGCATTCTTCGTGATGTTTCATATTGTGAAAAATTTGTAAACCGAAACGCGGTTTCCCATAGGAATGCATTGAGAACCAATTAATCTGTTCCGGAGGTCAGAAAAAAGTAAAAATAAAAGTCTTTTATTGGTTCAAAACTCTTTATGGAGTACACTTTAACCACCTCCCGCCCGCCATATAGTAATATGACGGGCGCAAGGTGGTTCTCTCGTTCTGGGAGGACGTCATATGACGTCCTCCCATTCTCACTGCGCATGCGCGGCTCAGGGAACGTGCAGCGCGGCGATCGCCGATGTGCTGTTTCCCTCGGACACAGCGGATCATGGAAAGAGCCGAAGATGTCGGCTCGGTCATGTGATCAGCTGTGTCCAATCACAACTGATCACATGTAAACAGGGAAATGCCGGTTATCGGCATTTTTCTCCTCTCAAGAGCTGACAGCTCGAGAGAGAGCGGTAATCAGCTTTCCGCGGAGGGGACATGTACACTGATCATCAGGGCACTGATGATCAGTGTGCCCTGATGATCAGTGTAGCCCCAGCAGTGCCACATATCAGTGCCTCCTGCCAGTGCCCATCAGTGCCACATATCAGTGCACATCTGAGCTGCCACATATCAGTGTCCCCATCAGTGTCACCTATCAGCTGCTTTTCAGTGCACCCATCAGTGTCACCTATCAATGCCAGTCAGCGCTGTGCCAGTCAGTGCTGCCTATCAGTGCCATATATCAGTGCTGCCTTTCAGTGCCCATCAGTGATGCCTGTCAATGCCCGTCAGTGCCACCTACCAGTGTTTCCTCATCAGTGTCATCAGTGCCGTGTCCTATCAGTGCAGCCTATCAGTGCCCATCAGTGCAGCCTCATTAGTGCACATCAGTGAAGGAGAAAAATCACTTATTTACAAAATTTTATAACAAAAACTAAGAAAAAACATTTTTTTTCCAAAATTTTCTGTGGTTTTTGGTTTGTTTAAGAAAAAATAAAAATCCCAGAAGTGATTAAATACCACCAAAATAAAGCTCTATCTGTCACAAAAAAAATGATAAAAATGTCATATTGGTACAGTGTTGTATGACCGCGCAATTGTCATTCAAAGTGTGACAGCGCTGAGAGCCGGAAATTGGCCTGGGCAGGAAGGGGGTATAAGTGCCCTGTAGGCTAGGGGTTAAAGGCATAAATACTGTACAGGGACATAGGGAAAAATTAATTCGTAAATGTACTGAAAACCAATTAATCCATTCCAGAGGTCAGAAAAAGGTAAAAAAAAGACTTTTCTGTTCAAAACACTTTATAAAGTGCACTTTAAAGGCACGGGGCTGGCGCTATAAACTTCCCAGGCGCAATGCATCTTGGGGAAACTTACTTCATATTACAAAAACAATTCCTAAATCAAGGCATTATTTTCAATGGATTTTCATTCATAAACAGAAAATTACGTTAACCGAGGAGTTCGTAAACCGAGGTACGCCTGTAGTGACAAATCTATGCCAATAGCAGAATCATAGCGTAGCCAAAACGTATGTTCACTATAAAAGAATAAAATGAAAGCTTTATAAAATCAAGTATTCAAATTGTATGTCAAAGTTCACTTCTCTGAGTTCCAGTGTGTTCAGAAATTGTACCAATCTGAAACCATTTACTATGGCAGGAAAATTAATACATTCTCTATAAATAATATCACCTTTTCATGAATAAACTTTTTAATAAATGCCAGTTTCAATTCTAGTAAGCCACGACCTTTGTGAGTATAATAAACTATTGGGATCAAATATTCCTTCCTTTCTAGCAATAACCTCCAATACCAATACACTTACAGGCTGTTAAAGTGGTTTAGGATTCGTTTACACGCGTGTAGAGGCCCATACAGCATGCAGAATGGCGCACAGGCTGCGTCCAAGGCTGTGCATGTTTATGAGCCCGCAGGCACAGGTGTTTCTACAGCTGCAAGCAGCAACCAGTTAAAAATCAGTGACAGGCTGACAGATGTAGAATCTGTACAGATGTTCCTAACATCTGAGCACTTATTTCCAGTACAGTGATGGATGCACAGTCCTGAACACAGTGGGGGTTAGTTACTAAAACTGGAGAGTGCAAAATCTGGTGCAGATCTGCATAGAAAACAATCCATGTCCAGGTTTTATTGTCAAATCTTAATTGAACAAACTGAAGTTAGAAGCTGATTGGCTACCATGCACGGCTGCACCACATTCTGAGTTCACTAGTTTTAGTCAATCTCCCTCAGCCTGTCTGCCCTTCTGTATGCTGTACAAGCATCAGCACCTGTGTGATTCTTGATGGACTCAGAAGTGACATACCAATTTCAGTCCAATTGCAAAGAAAAAACTGGCAGCTCAAACCAGTGAATGCAGCTACAGTCCTGGTTTGTTTGTGTACCGAGCCTAGTTCTCAGGCAGGCAGTCTGCTCTCCTGTCCTGGTTTCCTGGCAATCAGACTCCCTCTTCTAATGCTTCCTCATAGTTCTGATGATCCACATCTCCCTAACTGCGGCTGTAGCTTCTACCCATTATGCTGCCCTTACAAAGAAGGTTCCACCATTCCTTTAACCCCCCCCCCCCCCATACTTTGATCTACCATGATGCTTCTCCCTGTTTTCTTTACAAACCTTCATCCCTTTTGCAACTGAGAAAGGGGGGCTTCCTCCATTGTGAATGGGTTGAATGTTTGTAAACACCATAGTGTTTGCACTTGTGATGGTTGTGATTGGTTCACAATGTATATTAGCAGCCACTCAACCTGTTCAAAGTAATGACAGGCTAACATCAGCTGACATTGTTATGTGCAGCTTCACACCAAGTGGCTACCTGAGGATAGAAATGGATATCTGACCTGGACGCAGGCATGTGCATCCAGGCTTGGGCATCCATCCCTAACCAGAAGGTAACTTCTTAGTGTGGGGGCTACATGCATACAGCAACTGCTGCTGTCAGCCTGTCAATGCTTTGAACAGACTGATTGGCTGGTACTATTTGCATATGCCTGTCATTCCAGTCATGGTATCACCTGATTCTTGCCGCTGGAATCCAGTTTCTGCAGGTAATTGTCCGTGTGAAGGAGGCCTTACACTATATGAGCAGAATTATGTGGACTATCCTCCAAATGTATTGCCTTCAGGTATTTCCAGGTAAGGGTACTGCTTAAAGAGTTACCAGGACCCTGCATCCACTATATCTGGTCTCCCACAGTACACAGAACATGGAAGTGCAATTGTTTTAGTAAATATAAAACTGCTAAATACATTTTCTCATCAGAAGTTAGAGCAGTCTTGTGACTTCTATCAGTGTCCAGCCCAGCACTAGCTAAAGCTTATAGGAGTTTTCTTTCTGCCCTAGGAGGATGCAAAACCCCTGACCTCTGTCTGGACAGTGCTGATTAGCCTGTGCCAAATCACATGCACCCCCCCCCCAAAAAAAAAAACCTCTCTAGCAGTACACACCAAACTGAGCTTTTGCAAATGCCTATGGTTCAGTCTGTTTTATCAGGAGTTAAGAGGTGGCTGCTTGAAAAGGGGAGGAACAGAGAAGAAAGGATCAAACTGTCTTTTTATACAATGCAGAGGATTAACCCCTTAGGTTCCACAGTGAGTATAACAAGCATGCTTCACTGCATATACAGACTGATTTTTACTGTTGTGGGTTTAGTAACACTTTAATTCTGGGCCGTAGAAAAGTATCTATTCCAAATTTGTGACAACTGTTTGGGGAAGGCTTTTTTTTCTTTTCTGGCATGTCCGTGCTCCCATACACTTGCTGAGATGCTGAGCGAGCCAGCTGCCAGTCAGACATGTTCGTGGATCCCAATATTAAAATTGGAACCCCCAGAGTCTGGACTGGCTGAGTGACGTCAGCCGACGGCGGGCTGAATACAGATCACTGGAGTGCAGAACAAAGTGCAAAAGAGCTTTGGCTATGCTTTGCCTTAAAAAAACATTTTTTTTTTTTTTAAATTTTAACCTTTCTATCCCTGAACATCTTTAAAGTGTTAGCATGCTGAGCCGATTTTATAATGTTTGCAGCATTTATTGTTCTTCTTAATTTTGGTAAAATGTAATTATTTCCAGATGGTAATTATACATTCTCACTGTCTGTGTTCTGGTTTCTGTTTCCTAATGTATTGTCGTTCTATTTAACTGTAACATTGTGTTGGCTAGAAACAGGATTATGGTAGTTTACGTATGTTACTATAAATATAGCTGTTCAAATCATTTTTCCCAGTGTGTATTAAAGACATGGCGGCTGACTTTCGAAGTGAGGCCTCTGTTAGTTCCTTGTTATACAAGAAGTTGTATACTCCGCTCTCTGGTGTCTCCTACCTTTCCACCCATCCAGTGCTGCAAACTCCGTCCCACAGAATATAACTGGATACTGACATTTATAGGTAAAGTTGATCCAGGGAATATCCGATTGCCTCTTGGGGGATCAGGAAGGAATTTGTTTCCCTGCAGGAGCAAATTGGATCATGCTTTGCTGGGTTTTATGCCTTCCTCTGGACCAACTGGGTATAGGATTATAACTTTTTTTTTTTTTCTTCTTCTATGGTTGAACTGGATGGACTTTTTTTTTGTCTTTTTTCAGCCAGACTAATTATGTAACTATCTCTACAACAGTGGTGCTCAACTTTCTTGAAGTGTGGCGCCTGATATCACCAAAGGGCTATGTATAAAATTAAGTGAATGTCCATTATCAGAAACCGCAGATACACAGCATAATATAGCGAATGAGTAATGTTTTTTTTTCTGGTTAATAGTAGATCTGTTGCAGTATCTGCAGAACTTTTCCTGTAAGGTGTTTACATTGTAAGTGTAAGATTTATGTTTATTCTGCTTTTCATGTTGGCCGGTGTTTTTTAAAGATATACTCTGGCCAGGAATTTGTAATCCTTATTTGTGAAGTCTGTTCCTATCTCAAACATATATGGTGGTCTTTTTCAATCAAAGCAGCAACCACTGATCAAACCGTTTTTGGAATGCAGAATTTCCGGGGACCAGTCTTGCCTTGTAATTTCCCCATAGTAGTTTAGTGGTAACAGTGGTGGCGATATTACTTCACTGGTCTCTGCAGAGGGAGAACCCGGGCGTCTCTGACTCCAGGCAAGGGTAGGACTGGCCAGAAACCCACCTATATCTTTTCCCATTGATAGCAATAGGAAAAGTTAAAAATTGGGCAAAACCTGACGATGTTTATGCCCATTAACCACTATAGACAAGGTTAAAGTTGAACTCCGAGCCCAAACATTTTTAGGTTAAATAAACAATTTAATAGACACAAAAATATAAATCCACTTTGTGTGCACCCAGGGTGGATTTGATTTAAATCAAACTGATTTAAATCACGATTTAAATCACTAGTCAGTAAGGCTTGATTTAAATCCTAGTTTTTCTACATAAAGACTGATTCTTGCTGCTATAACTTTAATATACAAGTAGATGAAGATTTTTAGAGTAACAACTTTTCATATTAGTTTTTTTTATCCCCCGTTTAATAGGTTAATCATTCATATTTGGACAACTTTTCTGTTGTACTTAGGAAGGAAAAAAATAATCATTACCTTAATAATAACAATTTAAATAGATTTATTCAACTGAAACAATAACATTCCAGCATCTATTATTTTGCTTAAACATCCATGTTTGGTAACTAATTTGGCTAAACAAAATATATATATTTTAAGAAACTTAGACTGTCAGCCCCTTCCTCCTCACACTTAGTTTCACTTTCTTCTTGTGCAGATCTATTCCACTCCAAACAATCAGAAAAATAT